GTAACCACTTCTAGATGATTTTGCATGGATTGACCCGTTAATGAAGTAATTTAAAATATTCACTTCAAATTTTGTTACTAATAGTTTATATCGGTTACATTTCATTTTGTTCTATTTAATAATGTCAATTTCAAACTTGCCAATTGAGCTAAAAGTTATGATAAAATAAATTATTATTTTATTATTATAAACATTCACAAAAATCAACTTTAAACGATTAAAAAAATTTTTAACATATTATTAATCAAAATCAGTATTAATTTAAAACAATTTTTTGTTACTTTATTTTGTTACTTTGTTTAATTTTTAATTACTTTTTTTTTAGATGTAAATACTTATTTTTTAATAATATTAAAACTTAGAAGTAATAGAAAAAGTTTAAGGTCTTCCTTGTTAAAAACACATACTTCGATTTATTGAATCAGCATGCTGATCCTATTTTAACACTTTCTGAATAGAAGTTTCTAGAAGATAATTGTAAAACTACCTGTCTATACAGAGTTAAAACTTCATATATAGTTTCAAAAAGACATAGGTTTTAATGTAACAAATAATTTTATCCTAATTAATTTCCTTATAAAATCTATAGATGAAAACGTTAAATAAATATTTTTCCAATTTATAACAATTACTCTAATCTATTTTGTAATTTTTGTTGCAGATTGCATTTAAGCAAAAGGATTTAAAAAAAAAATTGAAAGTGTCATTTGCTGGTGAGCCAGGTTTGGATATGGGTGGTTTAACAAAAGAATGGTTTTTACTTTTAATACGTGAAATTTTTGATACGGATTACGGAATGTTCGTGTTTTATCCCCATTCTCAGTGTTACTGGTTTAGCACGAATCAAACTGATCAAACGAACCTAAGGGAATATAATTTAATTGGAGTACTAATGGGTCTAGCTGTTTATAATTCTACCATCTTAGATTTGTGTTTTCCTGGAATTTGTTACAGAAAACTGTTATCCCCGCCAGTAATACCATCTAATGATAATAACGTTGGAATAGTACAAGATCTTTCCTTGGACGATTTAGAAGAAATAATGCCGGTACATTTAATTACTTAATTTTGAACTTAATAGGCGAAGAAATAAGCATCATTGTTCAATTTAGCTCAGTATAAAAATGTGAATTTGCTTATTTTTTTTTTTAAAAGTAAAAGTTGTTTGATTTAAACATTTTTAAATAATATGTACTTAAATGAACTTTTTTCAACTCTTCAGAAGCATAAAACTTTATTTTTTTTTAAGAGAACCCTTAATTTGCCAAAGGGGGGTATTCAAAATATCAATTATTTCACAAAAATCAATTCTTTCAAATTAACTGTTTACAATGTTCCGGAAATACCGCGTCCTTTAAATATATATTAAATTAAAGCTTACATCATATACTATAAAATAAAATATAGTTTAAAAAACTAAAAAAACACGCTTTTAAAGCACATCGAACTAAAAAGTTAAAAATAATTTTTAAAATAAGTTTAAAATAATTTTGAAAAAAAATACTAGTATTATTGTGATAAAAGCGTGGGACGCTCAATATACGAAAAATATGACACAATGCACCCACGCTTTTATCACAATAATACTAGTATTTTTTTTCAAAATTATTTTAAACTTATTTTAAAAATTATTTTTAACTTTTTAGTTCGATGTGCTTTAAAAGCGTGTTTTTTTAGTTTTTTAAACTATATTTT